CATTAACATCATCATTAAGGTTACAGTGTTATACCTTCAACTTACCATCTCACGACTATCTGTCTTACAAATACCTTATCAAAATGCTATTTGCCAAACCAGCTTGACTTGCAACTCGTTAATCAGAAGCCATTTTAATAATTAGTGCTCAAATATTAATTCAGAAAAATCTTTGTATTTTAATTTTCCTTTCTAACCAGCACAATGGATAAAAGGGCTTATAAGCATTTGGCACCACTGCTTTCAGTCTCACAGAACCTAAATTAGAGCTGCTGCTGACGAAGTCGCCCATTCCACTCACATCTATAGCTATGACAATTTTAGAAAAAGAAAAAAAATGCATAAATCTTGGGCCTCCCAGATTCAAACTCACAGAAGACACCAGACCACTGCTGCTGCCATTAGCACCTGGTCTATTCCCTACTACGGAAACAGAACCAGCAGCACCTACACCCATTCTGACACCAAGAGATAAGTATTTGAACTTTTTTCTCAGATTATCCATTATAGTGATTACACATCCCAAATGAAGAACGTATTCCTAATGTCTGCCACTGCCATTCAGCCTGTTATCTTCAGTGTGCACAGAATAAGTTAACTGAATGACACGACTGCTTCTTAGTAGCAGTTACTTGCTCCAGGTGCCAAGGGAAATCAGTGCTGCCTTATCAAACAGTTATAATCAATTAGTAATATTGATCAGAACCAGCTCCCCACATGACTTAGCAAATTAAATGGTTGCACTGCAGTGTTGCTGGAAGAACGATGACCCTCATAAAGCTGTGCAGGTTCTGAGAGATATGAAAATAAAGCTCAAGTGCACTAGCATATAATCAGTTAAATCAGTATTACACAAAACCAGAAATAATGCAAGCCACAGACCTTGTTAGCTCTGTGCATCCTTACACCGTGGTTAAACTGAGTTGATATGTCAGAGAGAAAATCCAAAAGATTTCAGATTTATCATGTTAATTCTTTACATCACCTTCTCAAGAATTCACACTGCTGTCATTTTCTCTTCCATTTTGATTACCTTCTTTGCAACATATTGGTTTTCTTACTTTTACTGAATAATTCCTCACCTATTATATCTATAATTATTCAAATAATTAAGCATGCCTTTTCATCAGCTAGCAGCTAATTACTTCTACTCCTACCCAGCTTGCTCAGAAAACAGTCAATTCATCTGTATCCCTTTCACTCTCACTGTTGCTAAGCAGTCAATGCCAGTCAGAATGGCACAATAACTGGCGTTGTATGGCTCACTCTGGCTTTAAGTGCATTCTGCAGCATCTGACTGGTGGTGCCTTTCAACCTCTGAGCAAATGCTTCTCACCAGTAAGCAAGCTTTAGTCACGTGCTGAAGTGCAGCACCTGTTGGTAAAGACTGCTTATCCCCACCTCTCCCAGAGAAGCTTTGGAGCTGTTAGTAAGCAGCCACTACTTGCTGCAAGGTGCAGTTTGCAATTGGAGAGATCCGAAAAGAATCAGCTAGAAAGCCAGCTCTACTACCTGCAGTTTTCCTTCTTTGGTTGTCAGGCCTTACCCGTTGTTATGTGCAAAAGAAGTTAAGAAGCAGTCAGAGCTCTCACCTCTCTGGCATTATCACACACTATCCTTCCAGACCTCTTGTTACACCATCCCACGTCAGGTAACCTGAGAAGTGGACGCTGTCAGCATGACTCTGCTGTATCTCACCCTACTTCCCACAGCCTAGTACAAACAGCCTCTGCTTCAAAACACTCAACCTCATATCAAACTTCAGTGACGTGGTGACAAATCAGCCCAGGCTGCTTTTTCTCCAGTTACCTGTTATTTTGTTCCAAGGTGGGACGAGAGAAGCAGCTGCGTGAGAGCAGGGATTCCCACAGGCTCCAGCCCCAGCAGCCACTTCCTTGCCTGCTCACAGTTAATGGTGAAATGTTAGTGGCTGATCTTTCCAGCCTTCCTAAGCATTAAGCTAGGTCAAAATCCTTAAGCTTTTCATGTAGTTTGTGACTGCAGACTCTGAAATAAAATAAAATAAAAGCTGGCAATTGCAACGGTTGTGCTTGATTCCAGAGAAGGGGAATTCAATATAGAAAAAAAAAAAAAAAAAAAAAAAGTAAAAATAAATAAAATTTAAAAAAAAAGGAAATAAAAAAAAAAAACACTCAGAGTGGCAGCCAGAAAGGCGAAATGTTTTTAGATGGCAGGTAGACTATTTTAGGATTCTGTATTGGAGGCTCAAAGCAAATGCATATAACCTGTCAAAAAAGACTTGAGAGAAAAACAAAAAGCTAGCATCATAAAACAGCAGGATCAGGGAGGCTGTTGGAAGTTAAAAGGTATCCTGCAAAAAGCTGAAGTTGTGTCTGAAAAAGGAAAACTAAAAAGAACATAAATTCTGGCAGACTAAATGTAAAAGCACAATAATGTAGACTGAAGAAAGAGTTTAGAAGCAGTTTGCTGAAGAAATAAAAAAAAATGTAATAAATCCTTCTTGAACACATCAAGAGCAAGACGCTTACAAGAGCCAGTGGGCTTTGTACGTATGAAAGAAATACTCAGAGAAGATAATGCCATAGCAAAAAACCCCAAACACATTTAAATCACTGTTTACCTGGAGAATCTCCAGAAACTCTGAAACCACCATCTCGTTTGGAAGAGATAGAAGGCCTGCCCTAATTTAAAACATTGTTAGGAGTAGATTACAAAGGAGACAAAATGCATAACGATCTATCACTGGGAGTGGGTGATATTCATACAAGGTTTTTATAGAATGTTAAACATGAATCATCTGAGCTAATACTTATAGTATGTAACCTTTTGCTGAAAATCACTGCTATTATCAAAGGGCTGAAAGGTAACTAACGAGAAATCAGATTTTAAAAATAAATCCAGCAGCAACTCAAGAAACCACAGAACACTAAGTCTAATGTCCATACTGGTCACGTTGGTGGAAGCTCCAGTAAAGATGAGAATGAGTGAATACATGAATAAATGCAACACGTTAAGGAAAAGTAAACAGTGATTTTGCAAAAGGAATCTGAGCCTACTAAATCTGCTGGAATTCTTTGAAGGCATCAGAAGCACACGAGCCACAGAGATGCAGCTGAGAAATTGTCCCTGTATTTCCAATTCACCCCAAGCTTCCATAAGCCTCCGACATTTAAGGTGATCCCTCCTCAAAACTAATCAACTGTGGTCTACAAGCAAAGACCTCACAGAGATAAATAACTCATTAAATATAAGAATTGAAGATTAGACTAAAGGATGAGTTTTCTCAGAGGAGAAAGACCATCAGTGGAGTCCCATGGGGATACGTAATAAGGCCCGTAGTGTTCAGTGCATTCAGAAATGGTCTGGAAAGAAGGTGGAATAGCAAAATGAAGATTTCTGATTGAAATGGAATTCATTAGGAAAATAATTACTGCAAAAATGGAAAGACATGATGACACCGAGCAGACTCACAATAAAATGGAAGGGAAATTTCAGTGCTGACAACTACAATCTGGCTATCCAAGAAAAGCAACACTGACTTTCCAAACAGAGCAGTGCACTCTGAACCAGTTTGCCCAATTTAGGAATCACATCTTGAAAGTACAAAGTTAGTTCTATGAATACATCACCTTATTGCTCAATAGCAGTCAAAAAAAGAAAGAAAATCATAAGTTCAGAATTCTTAGGGAAAAAAAAGGTATGACTACATCACTGTGTGAATTCATGCTGCATCTGCTTCTCAAATATCAAGCGCAGTTCTGGTATCCTCACCTCAAGTAAAAAGAAGGAACAAAAAAAATCTCTAAAGGAGAATGAAATGATACATGGCAGAATGACAAACATGATAAGGAGTACAAAAATGCTTCCAAGTGAAAAACAAAGTTAGCATGCAGAGGTTGAATAGGAAGCGTTGACTTGCCATTTGTCTTTCCCAGTTGTACTGAGCAGGCCAGGTGCCAGCAAGGGGAAATGGACATTGCATGAGCACTCTGTCACCTGCCTTTTTGTTCAGCTACTGAAGCCTTCATATCCTGTCACAGGAATTTCAAGGCATGTGTAGGAATGACGACAGCTAGGTTTCAGGCACAGATTTCAGACAATCCCCAGCACGGGTTCAGGAAAAAACATATGGGGAGTAAAGGAGGAACAAAAGACTGCTGCACTTGCAGTACTTTCTGTGCCTGTTACTTCTAAATCATCACTCATTAGAGGTCTCTGCTTCCTTTCCCATCTGCCCTTCCCACACTACAACTTTAGAATTAAAAGCAAAAAAAAAACTGACAAAAAAACACCACAAAACCATCACCACAGAACACTTAGGCAGCATTTACTAACATTTAACTGACTACAGCAACCCAGCCAGGTTGCCTCCATAGCATTTTAACACAGCTCCTTTCACCTTTTTATGCTTCTCTCATTTTTCAAACTCATTTGAGCATTGTGGGTTCGGGTTATTAGCTTGGCTCCTTCAAGGACAGCACTTCTTTCCAGTCAGGTGTGCAGTGGATTGTACCAATTGGTCCCCTACCTGCTGACAGCCTTAAACTACTGGTGAGCTATTAATAATACGAAAGCAATCATTTTAATTGCAACCTGGTGTCTAGAATTTAGGATCCACGCAAAGAGTTCCTTCTATCTAAAATATTATTGTCCCATTGTGCATTTTGGAGTTTAGCTCTCATTAAAAGTAATAGAGGGAAATAGTCTGTAGCAAACGGAATGTGTTTGTTTTCACAGTTCACCTCCTGCTCCTCTACATGAAAACATACTCTCACTCAGTGACAAGACCACAGCTGTTGCCATCTTTTAGTTACCTGCTGAGTGCAATATTTAGCTTGAGGGACACTGAAGTTTTCTGTTTGTTAGTTATCAGGTCAATAACTCTCACCTTATCACTTCACTTTCCATTCTGTTGATAAAACCTGTCAGCCTTCCTTGAGTGGTTCCCGGCCCTCAGAAGAAATCACATTAAATTGGCACAACGAAGTAAATCTGTAAGGGATGTGCTCCTGACTTACCAAAGGGAAGGGGGAGGGCTAGAATTTTCCTCCCCACTCCTTGCACACCTCCCATGTCCCAGTACTCAGAGCTCTGTTGAAATCCTCCCTACAGATTCAGCAGTTCCAATCAGCTCAGGTCTTTCAATTTGGCCCAGAGGAGATGTCTGTGGAGCCAAAATTGATATGGTTAAGTGCAAGAGACAACAATCATTTCTTCAAGTAAAAGCTAAAAATACCCAGAAGAAAGTGGAATTTATAATGGAGATTTTAAAGATCTGTGACATACCAGAGCCTGCACAAGGGTTTTAATGAGAGGGAAGGCAATTTAATTGGTCAGCGAGGGCAGCTGCTTTCCTGGGTGAGGGGTCTAGAAGGGCTCACATTCCCATTTAATGCCACGAGCATCACTGCTGTGCTTAACATGGCTGCGACAAGCCCGTGGTACTGGAGCACATCATCAGATTCGGGAGAACCTTGATAATCAACGTCTCCGTGCTGTCAGATCACAGAGCTGAGCTACAAGGAGGAAGCAATAAAAAGAGGAGGCAAAAGCTGACAAGGAAACATTTCCAGAGGTAATTGCGCGACCGGCCATCTTTGGTCGTCGACATTTGTTTAATTATTGTGATAGAGCTCAGCGTGGGGCACGAAGTGAAAACAGCCCATTAAATTTTAAGGTCTGTTAACGCGGCGTTAACAGGGAGCTGCCGAGTACAAGGGTTAAAATCTGCAGGTCTCCCATGTGGAAACACTTTGGGAGTGTATGTCACCGTTCAAAGGAAACCCAGAAATAACTTCCATGGACCATTCAATTATAGGCAATCACCACACAGCACTCCCTCTACTTGTGGCACTGCTCATCAATCAGGTTTTCTGTCATTATGTCTCTTCTCATAGCAGTCACCAAAAGGCTCTGAGCTCCCTCCGAATTCATGTGACATTTACTGTCAGGGGCTGTCAACACCAAGAGATTCTCCCAGGGCCTCGGAGTTCATCACAAAGCAACAAGATATATCCCCCAACCACGTTCCCAGCATCAGCTCTGGATTACAGTGAGTGACTGAGGGGCACTGCAGCAGGCAGGGAAGAGCGAGCAGCAGTGCAAGCTCCAGCTTATGCCCAAATACCTTCCTTTCCTTATTTTCATAATAGAAAAACACAGCCACATTAAGAGAAATACAGCTCAGGTTTTAAGTCTGTAATTAATTATGATCTTCTCAAAAGCATCCCTTATAAACCTTGTAGTAGAAAGACGAGATTGTTTACTTGGAAACGTAGGCTTCCCATCTTTAGCATTGATCCTGCATTCATTGTCTGTTTAACAATAAACTGACCTAGTGGAATAAATTTATAAACCTTAATAAATTGCAGTTGGCAGTATTGACAGAGTGTGTATGTGTACATTTGTTTTTGTGTGGACATATTATAAGAAATCTAATAAAGTAAAACAAACACATTTTCTTTGTCTGTGAGCTGTGAAACTAGATCATCTGTAATTACAGTGTTTCAAGCAGACTTGGTCAGAGTCGCCTGATATTTTTACCATAAATATCTAACTAGAGAAAAAAATGTGCATCAAAGCTTGCATCTTCCACTGGGTTACTTTGCTCAAGGTGCAGAAAAAGGACACAGACAAAATAATTATCTAACTCACCAAAGACCACTGTGAGACAGGAGGAAACAGTTCCAGCATGCAGGGAATGAAGTTCCAGTGGCAAATGAGTCTTAAAGAAACAATGAGGATCTTGGATAAGTTGGTTTTGCCCAGACTTTAAATGGGAACTGACATCAACAAGTATTTAAACCAACAAATAAAAGAGTGACTTCAATTCTGAGGCTTTTGTAAGATCTGAGAATTTGTATGACCTCTTACAATTTTGATGTTTGGTTTTAGCTTACTTTCTAAAACCAGCCTGGTTTCTTCTTTCCACCAAAATAAATATATTCCTTAAGGAGCAAAGTATTTATTTTCTTTAAATTATTATGTGATAACAAACCCTGATCTCTCTGCCTATTCAGGTCACTCGGTGGGCTATTCCACAGATCCCCATCATCTGAGCCAAGGAATCCAAGCAATTTTACATCTGATTTATAGCCCATTTATCCAGCCCATACCTCACCAACCTGGTAAAGCAGTACTATGGGAGACGATGTCAAAAGCCTTGCTAAAGTCAATGTACACAATACGTGCAGCTCTCTCTTTGTTCACTGAGCCAGTCTCACCACAGAAGGCAAGCAGGCTGGTGAGGCACAATTTGCACCTGTCAAACTCACAGTGGCTGTTCCCCAAACCTTCTCGCCCTTCACATGCCCTGGCTTTCCAGGGAAAGATGTGCCACCACCTCTCCAGAGACTGAGGTTACGCTGACTGCTCTAAAACTGCCCAATCCTCCTTCCCACCCCTCCGGTAGGTATGCAAGATATTTGCCTTTTTCCAACCAACAGAAACCTCTCCTGAATTACCATGACTTTTCAAAGTGACCTTGCAATGAGATTGCCTACTTCCCTCAGCAATCCTTGGAGGCAAGGAATAAAATCCCACCACCTACTATCAGAAAAGCTGTAGTCAGGCACTCCGGCACCTGCAGCAATTCCTCATGGCTTATCACCTTTGTTCCCATGTCCTTTCGGCTCTCTCACTGCAAGGACACAAAGCAGCTGACCTGAGCAAGCACAGAACACACAGCCCTGCTTGCACAGTTCAGTCACATCGCTCCACCACCACACTCACTCCCTTAGCCATGTTACCCCACACCAACCTTGGCTATCTCCACTTGATTCTCACTCTGGACAGTCCCCTGCCTCATTGCTCAGAGCCTCTCTCATCTCCTCTCATTCAGCTATTTTCTTTTTCCAGAGTAGAAGCCATAAATGCGCAGCAATTGCACAACTGAAGTTGTTCCAACTCCTGTGGCATCCTCATGATATGAATCAAAACAGATTAGCTTCGTTATTGACTTGCCAGTTGCAGAAAAGACAGAGTATCACACACCAGGCAGCTGGGGACTTGAAAGAAAACTGGGATAACAGCAACAATAATTCTGTGATTAGCTGAGATCTCGGATAAACCCATAGCAACAAAGAAAGTGTACGTTTCTAGGAGCATTAATTACTGATACTACATTGATGAGAGAGAAAATTATGGCAAGATTACAGAATGGAGGTGCTTATATTTCTATTTTGCATCTAATTTTCATCTCCAAACAAACTTAGTAGCTTGGGAAATACATCTAGTAACATTATAGCAAGACAATCATAACATCCAATGTTTTATACAGATACATTCACTAAAACAGATAGCTAAACAACTTTATAATTACAGTATCAGGACAGATCTGTGGAGAAAATGGTAAACAACGTGCCCCATATGATACAACAAAAAAAGAAAAAGAAGCATGAAGAACTAAAAGAAATCTAGCGGTTGGATAAAGCTTTCAGAATGACAGCAGAGTGATTCCATACCCTTTAAAAGCCACATTCAGAGCTGAACCTTGCAGCCATCCACGCAGACAGCAGGAATAATGCTCAACAAGAACTACGAGTTCATAACAGGAATTACCAGCAAAGGGAAAACCATATTCTTGAAAAAGAGACAAATTGCCAGAATGACCAAGCATTTATGTGCCTACAGAACTAAGAAACAGATATGAAAGTGCACCATCCAGCTGCAATGAGCACAGGAGCAGCAACATTCATGCTTCTGAAGGAATTCACCAGGGTAAGGAGAATAGGAAGCACATCAATTTCTGTGCACACTGGTGCTGCTGATTGGGAACTCTGCCATCTCCTGCTGCAGCACAGCTGAACCAAACACAGCAGTACGCAGAGCCCAGGACCCTCAGTGAGCACCTCCATCACTAAGCCAGGCTGTGGGCTCACTTCATGCATTATTTCATACATTTCCATTCTCCAACATTTCATGTATTCAGTTTCCCAACTTATGAATGTTCATAACTAATCAAACCACTGATTGCAGGATTACTCAAGTTTCTGATCACACCTGACATGACCTTTTTCATAGAATCATAGAATCATTTGAGTTGGAAGGGACCTTTAAAGGTCGTCTAGTCCCACTCCCTGCAATGAACAGGGACACCTAGAGCTCCATCGGGCGCTCAGAGCCCCATCCAGCCTGACCTTGGAGACCTGCAGGGATGGGGCATCCACTGCACTTCTGAGCACTCTCTGCCAGTGCCTCACTTCTCATAAAAACATCTTCTTTGTATCCGCTCTAAATCTCCCCTCTTTTAGTTTGAAGACATTTCCTCTTATCTCATCACAACAGACCCTGCTGAAGAGTCCGTCCCTTCCTTTCCTACAGCCCCTTGAGATACTGACAGGCTGCTATAGGTCTCCTCTGAGCCATCTCCAGCTGCACAGCCCCAGCTCTCAGCCCTCAACGCCTCGCTGGGAGGTGCTGCAGTCCTGGGACCGTTTCTTTGGCCCTCCGACAGATCTGTGTCTTTCCTGCACTTCTCCTTGTGCAACTGAACTGCAGCCTGCCCAGATGCTGCCTCAGGCCCTGATAAGCCCAGATAAGGCTCTTTATGAGATGATTAGATGCTATATTCGTGCAGTCTGTGGCGCGCTTCATGCCTCCCCCCACAGGGACCCTGTCAGGCAAGCAGGAGGCCTCTCTACCCACAGAGCCCCCCGAGGTGCAGCACAGCCGCCTGCCCCACGGGATTTATCCCCTGAGCTACAGGGACCCCCCAGGCCCACATCAGACCACCCCCCTGTCGCCCCGCTCGTTCCCGCGGCCGGATGCCGCCCGGGCTACGGCCCGGGTCCGCCGCGCCGTTCCCGCGCTGTGCTGAGGGGCGGGCAGGGCGCTCCGGCTCCTCTCTATGGTACGCGCCGCTCTATCCCCGTCCTCACGGCCTCAGACCGCCCGCATCCCCTTCCCGCTGCCCTCAGCCCGTTCAGCCCGTGCGGACTCCTCTCTCTCCACAGCCCCACGCAGGAGCTGTCGCCGCAGCCCCGCGGGAACACCCCCGAACGTCCCCGGTCTCCACCCTCTCTATGGCCGCGAGGAGCCGCTCTGCTCCGCGGTCGCCCAGCGACGCGCCCTCTCTATGGTCCCTCGGGAGACATGTGGCGGCTGCTGCTGGGCCGCGGCGGCCTCGCGCGCTGCTTGCCGCCTCCCGCCCGCCCCGCGGCCGCCGCCGCCCCCGACAGAGACTCTGCCGACAGCCGCGGCTCCGCGCGGTGAGTGCGGCCCTCACTCGCTCGAGGCGGCGCGCCCTGCCCGTCCGTCGAGGCGCGAGGGCCGCCGTCACCGCCGTGTGTTTTGCAGGTGCTGCGATGCGCCCGGCTGTCGGCACGGCGGGCCCCGCCATGGCCGCGAGCGTGAGGGACGGCGGCAGCCGCTGCCCGGCCTGCTGCCGCGTTACTCCGTGCTGGACGCCGTCACCTGGGTGAGGAGCGGCCGGGTGGGCGGGGGACGCCGTGCCCTGCGGGGAGCCGGGTCCAGGAGTGCTGTGGGCTGGAAACTCCTCTGACTTGTGTTGTCTCTATTTCAGGGAGCACTGGCCGCGCTCCTGCTGCAGCTGGTCAGGCAGATCTCGTGGCTGCGATCGCTGCCGGACGCCAGGAGGGAGCCCAGGCCTCCCTGGTTGCCCTCGCTGCCCGCACGGCACGCAGGTCAGCAGCGCTGGGTTGGGAGGACCCGGCTGTGGGCAGGATTTCTGCCTCCCGACAGCTCGCATCTCTCCTGTTGCTGTCAGAAGCTGACAGGCAGCTTTCAAGCTCTCTGGAGGGATCAAGGGCTGGTATCTGCTCGGGGAATCTTACTCTTTCCTACCTGTTTGATGCAATCCTACGTTATATTCTGCTTTCCATTATATTTGTCCTCTGATTGGGGCCTTACACCGTGAGCAATCCTGCTCGGCTTTGTTGCCAGAGCATAGAAGGCAACTAGAATAGATAAGTTCTGCTTTGGCTCCTAGAGTGGAGGCAGCGTGGCTCATGGGAATTGACTTGTGCTCTGTGTTTCAGTGGTGCCTGACGCTTCAGCCGGCCTTCCCTGTGCCCAGCTGGGGTCCTGCTTCCTGCAGAAAGCAGAGGTTGCGCCAGAGAATTCATCCTCAGGCCTCCCCTCGGGGCCAGGAGAAAGGCAGCTGTGGGCAGAAGAAGGTATGTGCAATGTGCTACAGGGCAGGATGCCTGTAGCAGAAGGACTTCAGAGTTTTCCTAAAGCAAAGCTAGGACCCAAGAAGCATGTGGTCATTTCTTGAAACATGGAGGAGGGAATGGAAAGACAGAACTCTGGAGTGATGAATCAGGAGTCCAGAGACAGGGAGAAAACAGCTCCTGAAGGCAGGGAGGAGCCCGTGGTATAACTGTGCAGCAGTATTGACTTTCCCAATGTTGGTCTGCCTTTGTGACCAGCATACAACATTCAGTTTCTGTTCTTTTATTGTGGACAGACATTTGCAATCAAGAGGGTTCAGGAGAATATTGCAGAGTGATCTGAGAGGCTCACTATACAAAATGATGCTAAGGGAATTATTTTCTTCCAGGAGTACGAAAATGAGTGCTTGTGCTGCAGACAGGGTGGTGAGAGGGGGTATTAAAGGAATTCTTATTAAAACAGGCTTTACAAAAACAAGAAAATATACTTTTAAAAAAGTAGTGTCATCCAGGAAAATGTGCCTGGACATCTAACACGTTAAGTCATATCAAGGAAGGTCAGATTAAGCCCACAATACGTTTATTCACTAGACATATAACTACTATTAGTAGCTTTGCAGGAACGTATGATTGTGGTGTAGATGAGACACATTAAATAAACAGCTCACAGATGTTAGATGATGTAACGTGTTGCTAGAAAGGTCAAGGGGGTTCCCCATTCACTGCTTGCTTCTGTGCTGATTTAAGCTACTGCCCATCACTGCTTATCAAAGCCATCTCCTGCCAGAGGTTACCATTCCCATCAGTTGGCAAATGGAGCATTTTGTTTCCATGTTCCTAATTAGCTCCAGGAAAACAGCCAGGTTAATTTACCTAAACTGCCAATTAGACTGTTTAACCCATCTGCTTTTGCCTGAAGCGTATTAAGAAGCATTCAGATACACTGCCTTGCTGGCAGATGACTGGACATGGACCTCTGGGAGAGGTGGTGGGGAATAAGTGGAGACAGGTCTGTCTTCACTTGGCACAGTTGGCAGTGGATGTGTGTCTATATCTTAACAGTTTCCTACTGAGAGTCAATTGGGAGAGCTTTTAGGCAAACTGACAAATTGAACCGTGACAAGTCACTAAGGCCACATGCTCTTTGTTCAGATGTTCTCTGGAGGCTATGAAATCACTAAGTCTCTAATGATGGTATGTAATCCAGAGCTGAAATCTGCTGTACGACCAGACTGAACACTGACGAATTAAACACTATCTTTTGAAAAGCAGGGTTGTTTGTGCCATGGAACTGCAAAAAAATGTAATTATAGGGTGATAGAAACTGTATTATAGAATAGAAATGTTAGGTACCTGGATGAGCGTACTGTATCAAAGGTCTGGAAGGGCTTAGGAAGTCATTTCTCTGACCAGCTTGCTCCATTACCTGAGTCTTAACAGAGAGCAGAGTTAGAGTTTGTAAATCTATTAGAGTTCTCTGGAGAAGTCAACAGGCATGTGGAGCAAGATTATCCAGCTTTTAGCTTTCTGAAAATCTTTCAACCAGGACCTAAGCCAAAGCTATCTGGAGGAATAAAGCTGTTGTGAGGGAAGACAGAGGGACTGCTCTTCGGCTAGAAATTCCTTAAAGCGTAAGAAATGGCTTTCGTGATGGAAAGCCATTACTGGTGGATTCCCCTAAGTGCTTTACAGAAACCTGTTCTGCTTAGCAGAGTCAGCAGTGATTTGGAAAAAGGTGATGCTTGAGGTGACAGGAGAAGCAAATGAATTACAAGATTATTCAGGACAGTCAAACCTAAAAGTCACAGCAAAAGATTGGCACAAGACCTAAGAGGGTGATCTCAAGGTAGGTTGAAGGACTGCGTGCAGGGAACTGTAAGTGTAAATATACATACGGAGTGAAGAGTCTCAAATTAATGATTGCCTTGAAACTGTGAAGTCAGTGCTCAACGGCAGCGAGGTAAATGAAATGTTATTTGTTGCAAAGGAAGGAGCTGAGGCCAAAACAGTATCATAGATCTGTGTAAGTGTAACATAGCTGCGCCTTGAACAATTTAGGAAGAGCACTCTGTCTTAAAAAACAGTAACCAAAATGACATGGACGAGGATGAGAGAGAGCAAACCGCAAAGAAAGGCTGACTCTTTTGCTTTAAAGTAGTGACAAAGGGTGGTAGGCAGCAGAAACGTGCTACTCTGAGACTGCTAGAAGCAGCTACTCTGTTTTCTTGAGTGGCAAAGACCTTTGTGATGTATGCAAACGGTCCCAGTTCCAGTATAACACAGTAGGATAGAATCTATTATTTAAAAAAAAAAAGAAAAAACAACCCAAAAAGTGTGTTTAAAAAGAAAACTTGAGGAAATCTGTTGAAAAGTTGCTTAACATATAATTCCAGGTATTACTGTCAGCAAGTTTTCAGGTGCATGATCACATCCTATTTTTTCATCCAATTTTTGTCTCACTCAGAGCTTTTCTTTCTGAAAGTTAAAGGCATGTAGTGCAGAAGCAGGTGATTACAGCCATTCTCAGTGGTACAGCAGCTGAATGTTGCCTTGGGGAGTTGTTTTTTACCCCTGACGGGACTGTAAAATTTGTTATTTCAATTCTGAGATTACAGGCATTTCCAAAGTGTGTTTTCATTTCAAAGCACAATGAAACCAATTGGAAACACTCAAATTTTCCATGAGGCAGCAGTCCTGGATTGTGGCCAGCTCTTGTTGTGAATTAATTCCTGTGAAGTGTTTGGATGTTTCGTTGTGAGCAATCTAGACTATCTATGAGAAGGTTAATAAATCTGCATTTGGAGTTAGCTTCGAGTAACATTTGGTAAGTGCAGGATGAACAGTGGGGAAACGCAAAATATTTATTAGCTGTAAGATCTCATGGGAAAAAAAAAGAAAAGGGTGCATAGTCATGTTACATCATAACACAGATTTAAGGGGG